CCTCAAAGAACAAAAAACTGACAAGATTTCTATGTGATCTTCAACCCAAACAGCATTGCTCCGTTCTCATGTAGCTCGGAGTGGAAGTCACAAAAAAAAAAAAACCATAACAATGTATAAATAAAAAAATAACAAAATGCTGAAACCATAACAATTAACCCGACAACAATATACAGTACAGTACCAAATGTTCCATTTAGGTCCTGAACAAAAGGTATTTAAAAAAAATTATTATTTGCAAATCAACAATTAAAACATGGGCGTTTCAATGCACAGTTCAGTTAAACAGAGACTGTCCATACCTCTACCAGCCAATTTTGAGGGAAAATTTGCTAAAATATATATTGGTAATACAATATGGTGTAGTATCATAAGCTTCAAATTTGGAATATTTTGAAATATCCCTGCAATGACTTTCTTTTGCATGGTTCTCCACTCTTCCTGGTTGATGCCTCAGGCTCTCAGCTAATCAAAATACAGCTTGCATACATTCTATGCCTGTCCACTGCATGCCTCATCCAGCAAAAACATTGATAATTTTTTACTGATAACCACAACCTTGGTTAGAGCATGGTTTTGTGCATGTCAGGTTGATTGTGTTTCTTGTGAACATGAGGCCCCAAGCACAGTTTATCTGGTGACTACTGCTCTGACATCCAGCAGTGCTTTTCCCATGAGAAAATATGGTGTTGATGCAGACAAGAAACTATCGGTGAGTATAGCTAGTGGAAGGAAGGCACAGACCACACCATTGACACAAGAAGCATAAGTAACAACAAAAGCTACCAAGAAAGGTGCAAGCTCTTCATCAGGATCAAAATGGCCACTCACTGACAAAGTTAAGTTAAAATTGGATTAGATGTGTGTTATACAGGTACTACTTTAGATATGAAGAAAAAAAATTGTCAGGAACTGTGCAGATATAACACAATCTATACTAAGCCTTTAGTACACAAGGATGCAGCGTGGCTGGTACTATCATGACTGCCATAACTTCTCCAACTATGAAATTAGGAACCCACTAAACCTGGCTGGATTGGGAGTGACCTGGGATTGACCCAGGTCGAGTGTTGTATCCACCCAGTTGCTACAACAAATTTACAGTAAAAACCCCATAATTCGTAATGTTTTGCTGTTATAAAATATCTATTACAAATTTCGTAATATTTTATAAAATTTCATAATATGAGACATTTCGAAACAAAATTTTTCCTAATACTGCGACCGCCCGTCTCAGTATAAACAAGTACGGGTATATGCGTGTTGGTCAGTTCACGTGGGTCAGTCTTGGAGTGCACGTCTACAGTCTACCACGCAAGCTTTTTCCATCATTGCCCTGTGTTTGAGCCATTATGACTGATAACCCTAAATATGGTACCGTACTGTACTTAGAAATGTTTTAATTTTGATTGGAGCAGATAACAAAAAAGTACTGTTGCTTTGTTTGCCTTTTCCTCGGGAGAAGGTGTCCCTCATAATTCGTAAAATCGCATATGTAACTGGTAAGGGTTAGAGCCCCTATTATTTCTAATTATGGGGGTTTTACTGTATTTTACGAAATATGTACCCGTGTATTGTCTTATCATTACATCATACGGCATATTACTATTGTTTAATTATGGTTAAATCTCTTTATTGGTGATAGTTTTTGTTGATCGATGTAGTTTGGTTGGCGCCTGGAATCGATCCTCTAGGAGTGTGTTACAGTACATGAAGAAGTGATCTACTGTACTATTTGCAAATGTCATCTATACACACAAGGTTCTGGAACAGAGGTGTGTAGACAGTTCATGTTTGATTATATTATGCATTATAAATATGGATCTTTTTTTTAAGAACAAAGTTAGAATATCATTAAGTGCAATGTACAAAAGACTAGTTACAAACAATCATCACACACAACATTTTCACACAGCACAGCACACTGATAAACTGTGTAACACACACAACTGTATTTAATTTTTCTTCTGAAGTTATCATAATTCCCGTCACATGATTCTTCAATGATACACATTGTGACAAGGGTGTTGCTTCTTCTAGCACAAAATCCATTTTTTAATTTCCACTCCATAGAAGATAACACTTCCAGTAAATTTTCCTTGTAATATTTTACTCTCATATCCAGTTTTCTGGAGAAATATGCCTGAATGCCGCTTTTAAAAAACTAAATTTATAAAAAAAATGCAGGTAAATCTGTCAAATTCTACACTTCTAAAAGGTAATACTGTACAGTAGTACAATATGTAGTGTAGACTTAAACAAAGTGGAAGAAAAGAATGATCAGTTTAGTAGAGAGAGCCTAGTATAAATAGTGGTTTAATTATTCCAACTGCTTAAATTGAAACATGTTAAGGCTTAGTGGTACAATTCTTTGATTGGAAGAGCAGCGTTGCTGATAAATCGATGCCTAATAGTTTCTTTTATTTAGAAAAGTGGAGTTCTTTTCCATGTCTGGTTGTTGCATGTAAGGGAAAGTTTACAAATAGATTATTCTAAGCAGTAAACATAATTTCTGACCCCATCACTAAACTATATCAGAAGTGTTCAATTCACGTACACACATCTTGGCTTACAACTTCCACTGGATACAATGCTCAGTCGGACTGTGATATTTATGGTACACTATGTAGTAGTATTTACAATTTCTAGGTTCCATCAACATTTTGCAACCAATTAAAGCACCTCATTTTCCACAAAGATGTAGTGGCGGAGGTGATACAGCACTTGCCTCCCGACCCAATAGTTGCCAGTGTAAGGACCATGGGTAGATACTGAGTGGGGTACCCTAGCTGATTCAGCTGCAGAATGGGTACCTAACATTTCAGGTGGGAAAAGGAAGGGCCACAATATGTCCCAAATAGGAAGCCAAGTGTACAGGACCCAATTGCATTATTATTCCTCACAATCTGCTCCATCTTCTCCCTTGCAGAGCTAACCTTCAAGTGCTACTATTGAGCATTTGCCATTATGAGTTTTCCCTTTTTTTCTTCAAACTGTAATGAAAAGCACCGAGGAGAAATAGGTGTTTAAAAATGGTAGTTGGTGGTGATTTGTACAAGTTGCCAACAGAAATAGGTAATGTATATACTGTATGTATAATATGATGGGGAGAAATCCAAGAAAGCAAACATGTTTGGCCAGAGTAGTCCATTAGATACATATGGCACAATAATATACTCTACTGAAAAGAAAAAATAAATAAATAAAATAAAATATATATATATACAGTATATATACATAAATTTATTTTCATTCTAATTACTACCAATTTTGCTTTTAATGCAATTGGTACTGTACAGTATATGTCTCTTTTTCTTTCATCCAACTTAGTTGGGGATGGAATAAGGTTGATAACCAAATTTTTTCCTTGGTAAAAACAAAACAAACAACAACTTTATATTAGTGTTTCATGTACTTAACCCTTTAAGGTAGAATGTTGATAATGGTCATCATGTGTCAGGACCAGGGTGGGTGCTCAGTAAACTCTTTACAGTATTCTGCTTCAGGTTTCTAGTTTGGAAGATTTTCTTTGGAGTTATTGCTAACTCATTCCTGCATCTTTCTCAGCATTCTTATCCAGGACTAAAGTTTTCAATTGTGCCTCACTTTTCACAAGCCACACACCAATGTTAACACACTTGATGATGAGTTATGATGTAATAAATTATTTTCCCAAATTCACTTTTAAATATTTGTTTTTAAGACAACGTTGATCATATGCACAGACTTCAACTTATTCTTCTTGTTCTAAAAATTTTGCCCAAAGCTGGGACCTGACAGAGTTATATTTAACTATTGTCACAGTGAGTTAAGACTTGCATGTGTTCTAATTTCCACAGGATGCAGAGGGTCATTCATTCATTTTCTCTGAAATATCTTCTGACCATTTGTCAAAAAATTTTGTGTGGAGGCAAAAAATATCCAAGGAGGAATGTGGAGAGTTTGTGGTTCATAGTTAAAGATAATCTGTCTGGTTTTGTGCGACAGTGACGACGGTGACTGTTCATCCGAGTTGTGTGGTGCTGCTCTCTTTCACTGCCGTGTCTCGCACTGACTCATGAAAAATAAGTGAAAAATTTTCTTCCATTATATTAGAATCATGTAAATAATGATTTTTTGTGTAATTGGGGTCAATCTGTTTTTTGTATTATAAAAAAAAATCATAATGTAAATTCTTCTATCTACAGTACCTGTACTTCCAAATGATATTGGAATAAGTACTGTACTTAGTTGACAGCTATTAAAATTTACTTGAACCTTCAACCAATGTGACCTAAGTTCAGAGAATTAATCATTCAAAATACTTGTGGAAAACAAGTTAAAAAAAATATCATATTCATGAAGAAAAAAAAACATATAAAAATTTAAAACTCATATACTGTACTCTGTACGATATTTTTTTATTTCTTGAAATGTAGAACTGAGTTTCCTCCTAAAGTTTTTTCCTGAATAGAAGGGGATATACAGTACTGTCAGATATTCTGATAGGTCTGCATTACTCTGAATGTTTAACAACCATCAATAAGAAAAACAGTTTATAGGCAGACCATGGGTGTACACCGATGCATGCACATCATGTTTCCTCTGGCAGCTCCCTCGTGATGGAATCAGGAGGAGAGATTTTCCATTAAGAGTTATCAACCATCTCCAAGTAGTCAGGTGTAATAAGTCTGAAGCAACACCTGAACTTCTTGTCGAATAAGTTCATAAACTGGTCATGCTGTACAGTACAGTACAGTACAGTACTACCCCAATACTGAAGAAATCATTAATGGCTTTCACTGAGAAACACATATGTACATAAAGGATGAGGGAGAATAAAAGAGTACGAGTGTGAGATTCAGCCAAGTGTAAAGGACCATTGTATACGGTGAAGCTAGTCAATGAAGGGAACCATCAGTACAGGAAAATGTGCACCTCATTACTCTGCCCAAAGTAACTGGAGCTTCCAGGTTTCCACTACTATGCAGTGAGAGGTTTTACACACAAACCTAAACTACTTTTCATATCTTGAAGGAAATTATTTTATTATTATATATAATCACTTACTAACCCAATAATACATGATATAAGAATAAGCATACACAAATGTGACCCTTGTAAGAAACACAGTATCACCTAATATATACATACTATACTGTATATATGTACTGTATATATACAGTATATATCCTCTCCCATAGAAAAATATCCTCTATACATCATTCACATCTTTGAGCTACTATTTAATAAATAATAATAAAAAAACATGTTAATAAACTACACAGTAAGCAATGTGAGATAGTATACAGTGAACCCTTTTAATGTATACAGTACCAACTGTATATACTTATTCATTACTAAATACTGCATAAGCATTTTAATAACTGAGAATAAATGTAAGGAAGAACTGAAACAGAATAACCACTAAACTTGAGGAAAAATTTAAGTTGACAGTACGACAGTACAGTACTGTTTATACATTTCATAACTGCTACTAATGACATGAGTAAATGAATAACTTTATTAAATTTTAAATCATTTCATTAACTTGGGTTAAGAGAATCTTATTTTGTGTTGTAATATTAAGCTTTCTACAGTAGGCTGTAAACCTGAAATGCAGAATATTTCCTCATCCATAATGAAAGATCACAAGTCATGTCTTTAAAAGTTTATTAACTATTTTCAATGAGAAGTGCTACCACTTTGACCTATTGGACACCATCTTGCTCTCCACTTGATAAGAGATTTATTAAATGATGATTATTATTATTATTTTCATCGTGTTTCAGACTGACTATCAGGTTAGTTATGTCATCCATCAAATCAGTTTATAGGAACTCAAAAGAAGCTTAATGGCCGTGCCCCTATACAGTGCAGTACAGCTTCCTTCTCTTCCTCGACGTCACGATCATCCTACAGTATTTCAGTTGTCATATTTTGTCCTCTTGTATATCACCAAAATATCATTATCTAGCACAGCACTTTATTATATATACTGCAGTGGTAAGATGCAACTTTCAGTACTCAAATTTCTGTAAAACGTTATGCTGGCTTTGTGAGTGATCGTGTCAGCTTTTTAATATTTCAACGTCGTCTGCACGTTACTGTAACCCTTGGAAGTCTGGATGTCTGACCGGAATCTTGGTGAACAATCCTTTCTAACTCAGTGAAGATGACAGTATCCTACCAGGGTCCTGTATGTGGTCCAAGACTCCCACCTCTAGATGATGATGCTTGAGGTCTTGAACTACACTTCCTGAAGGTTGGTCTTCTCTGGCCACAATCCTTCTTGGCCTCCCTAATGAGAACAGGTGAATAACTCTGCCTATACACCAACAACCAGCTCTATTCCATACTCTATCAATATACAAGGTAGTTTTACTGTAATATGAAGTAAGATATCAAAGACTTTAGCCTGGACTCTTAAAGTGACACTTTTACATAATGTACTTAGTTACTGATTATACTGTATCAAAAATGATATTCTTAGCAATTGGAGTTATCAAACATACCAACCGATCTTTTTTAATATTTCTCAGTTCAATAATATATGGTCAAAATTAAAGGTAAATCCAAGTGCGCACGCACACACACACACACAAGCACACCCGTGTTCACACTCACACACAAACCTGTTGTCCTCTTCCTAAAACATACTGGACAATACTCAACCATTTTTCACTTACTACATGCATTTTCAATAACATTCACATCAATCTTCAATCTACCTTACCACATTTATCTCAAATTTATTAATGCCTCTTTTCCATAAATGCTTCATCCACAAACCTTTTTCTTTTCTATGCCCACATTGCTCTTGCCCAAATATGCGGTATCTTTACCACAATTCAACCACACACTTCCCAAGTTATATTCTCATTGTCTTTTCCTTTCTACACAGGTAATATACATACATACATACACACCATGTCACTCCTCTGATATCCTCCTTCATCCATACATGGGTCTGTATACTCTTCTTCATATATCACCATTTCACCTCCCATACTGAACGTATCAATGGTGATTTTATCCACTCATGGTGTCTGACCATTCTTAAGCTTACTCAGTCAGTTTCAAATCTTATTACTTTTCCACCTTTTGATTTGCTACCAATCAATCCAACATGACCTCAGCAAGGTAATTCTACCCCTCTTTTATTTTCATCACTTAACTGTTATTTTCATTTGTTATAATCTCAACTTATTTGGTTCCTTCCTACGTCTTCTTAAAACCTTATGACAATCCTTCCTCATCTTTCCACAGAAGAAGAGATAGAATAATTTACTATTTTTTATCTTCCCACTGAAAGTGAAAGTGGGTCCCATGGGCATAGCTGCTGATGAGGGACAGTGTGGATACAGCACACTGTATACTAAGCCTTCAGTACACAAGGTGGCAGCATGGCTGGTACAGCAATAGGCAGCCTTCTCTTTCCCAAGTTGTAAACTTAGGTACAGTTGCCTACACATGAATGTACCATAGCCTGATGTGTGTGAGGGCTTGGGTACGAGATGTGGCACTAAAGCACTGTAGTCAGGGCTGAATGAATGGGTGTGAAAAAGTGAAATTACCTTGTTTGTGTGGCCACACATCAATGCTGAAGAACATTTATCATATGGATGCTTTATTTGTTTGTGTTATGCAGAATGGTGTAGCCACCACCAAGTGGCTAGAACTGAGCTACAGGAAACCAGCAAACAGGGTAATCCATGTTTTCATGCCCATAGCTAAGCAGCTGAGTTGTCACATCTAGTACCTTTGCCCTCACTCACTCCCAGGCCATGGTATGTTCATGTGGAGGCAACTGTACATATTTGCAGCTGGGTAAAATGGAAGAGCCCAGGAATTAAACCAACGATCCCCGAAACAGACGTGCGCTGTAGCCGCTTGACCGCCGCGCTCACTTATTCTCACTACAGACTATCAAAGAAGCAACATCCTATTAGCCTGTCTTGTAAGTATTCATATATACACAGGTATGTTCTCTGTGATCACACAGTAGTTGCCCTACATCATTCATAGCAAAAAGGTGGTTCTCCCTTTCCCCACTGATATCACCCTTTTTAGTGATTACACTCACATTGAAGCCCCATACTGTACTATGTGTTGAAACTACTAACAACTCTACAATATCTTTCAGTTAATGTCAGTTTCTATATCTATAATTTAGACTTCTCAACTTTTGCCTCCTTAGTCTTTCTGCTTCCCACCTGTATTAATTTCACTCATGTGTGTGCAGTGACTGGAACAAATATCATAATTTTCACACATACTTACTCACTGTTAAAAAGTGCAGGATGTCCTTTGATTATATCCCTCTTGGACAATTCCCATTGAGACGATTGTCTGTTTTATGCAATTCAACCTAACCTAACCTAATCATATAAGTGGGATGGTAAAAATCGCATAATAAAACAGACGATCATCCAGGTGGAAATGGACCAAGTGAGATGACACCTGCCCTACATATCTTGAGGCCAAATATTCATAATACAAGTTTTAAAAGCTATTCTTCGATCTTACTGGTAACAGAAATGTGTGAAGACCATTGTAAATATGTTACTCTGTTCTGGGGTGGAGGAAAGGCAAACCGGATACACAGTGATTTGGTTACCAAGGGTCGTAATGAGCCTTATGAAACACTGTACCACAACGAGAAAACTGTCCTGTTCCCGCTAGAGGTCTCCTTCGCTCTTCCAAAACTCACTTAACCCATGAGTTTATTTATTAATGTGTAAAATATATGTAACATCATTTTTCAATCAACTAACTTTATCTGCAATTTAGATGCATATCTGAAATGGCATTAGACCACCAAAATACTGTATGATCATCAACCGCTTGATGCTGTTATTATCACACACCATACAGTACATGGAATACTGTAGCTGAAGGGATAAAAATCAACTGACAAAGATAATGGATCAATATGAAGTAAATTTTCACTAATAATAAAAAAAAAATCCTTTAAATATTACGTAATTTATAAAAGCTTAAAATGTTATTCAATATTTTACACCAAACTATGAACTTGAATTATGTGTGTAAATTGATTGGGTATTTAAATGCTAATTGCATTCAGTATCTGTGATGGGCTGTAGTTATTGCTTGAACGACAGATGGTAAGACTGAACACAAGAGAGGCTTTGACCCCGGGTTAGTTATAATGCAACATGGAAGCACAGAACACAGAAATATAAAACGGAAGAGCTATACAGTTATGTCTAGGGTTGGCGGTAAATGTTAAAGAGGCCGGATGCAGGAAGAAATGCCAGAACAAATAAGCAACCATCACACACCGGGGTAAATGGTAAGAATACATCCCAATGAAATTAGTAAAGTCCAAAGAGTAATAATTTGTTAGCCTATATAAAGAAGTCCTTAAATCCACAATCCACCAACTTCATTTTTCAGTCCAAGAAGCAATGTGGTCAAATGTTGTATGAGTGTACAGGATAGTACAGTACTCTCTCAGGGAGTAAAAGCTGCACAACTTACCTATGATAATCATGGACACAATAGATCTTATTGTCAACGTCAACGGTGAAGGGCACGCCGTCCAAGCACTCATTGCAGATGCAGCAACGGAAGCAACCGGGATGGTAAGACTTGCCCATTGCTTGTAATATCTGACAAAAAAGAATAGGTGTAAGCTTTACTAAATTATATATTATACTCAGCCATTTTGTCCATACGTATGTTTACATTAGTCTTCATTAAAACACGACCCAGTCTTTGAAGCTAACTTCATAGCAGTAAAAAATAATTATAATAATAATAAAATAAATACCCGGTAACTAAAAAGTTAAAAATCTAAAAAACAAAATTGACTCTGGGACCTAATCTTTCCATAAATATATTTCAGTTACTAATGGTAATCATCTCTGAACATTTCAGAAAAGTCAATAGCCAGTTTTTCAAAGTGGATTCTATAGCAAAATCATTCCAGCTATTAATGTATTCCCTTTATATGTTACTTTTAAATACTGTATAGCCTGTAGCTGCCTTCAACCCTGAATATTGAATTAAAAAAAATCCTGACAAGTTTGAATTTGAAATCAGTGCACAATACATGTACTGTATTCAATCTATCTTCCCCAGAACACTGAATGTATCTATAAAAATCTATAATGCAACCCGGCGATCCATTTACATTCAATTATGAGGTACCTACGCCCTTTATCTCTCAAAACTTCAGAAATATTCATAGAGAACTTTTTGAGACATGGCTCTTCCTTCCTCTCACTACTACTGCACTGTACTGTACCACAAGAGTGCACTATTCACCTGTGACCCAGACTCTGACTCATCAACACATTTTAGACCATCATACTGCTTAACATATCTTAACAGTACAGTGCACTTTATAACTTCATACAAACCTATTACTTTTCAAATGCATTTCTGTATACAGTACAGTATTTTATATATACTGTAAACTAAACAGTACAGTAAATTAGTTCATGTGATCATCTTGTCTTCTGTAAATTAGCACGACAGTTCAGTACTGTACTGTATATCTGAAGTAAGACATACAATAATTTTTCCACCAGCAGACCCACTTTTGTTTTACCTGTTTACCTGACAAATGTTCATACACTATGTTCCAACACTGACAAAATATAATTATAAATAACTTTGAAAAGGAACCACTGTATTAGATACCATTAGCATAACAATCTTATCCTAATACAGTATACATTTACAGTTCAATAGTATAAATCTGTTGTTGATGACATCTTGCTACATAGTCTTTCCAAACATCAAGTCTCACACTGTAAACATCTCCCTCACTCATCTCACAACCAAGACTCACATACAAACCGCAAACTTCTCTTAAAAAGTAAAAAAAATCTGCCCATGAATTCACCAATGTATCGGTCACACTGACTTGGACTAAACAAGAGACAACACAACTTAGCCTGCAAAGTGAGTTGAAATGTCAATTCTTTTAGAGAATTGTGTCTGACTGCTTGTGCTCTTGTGTTTGAGTTTTCATAAAAAACAAAACCAAAAAACAGTGAGATACCCAAGTTAATCATCATCCTTCCTATCACCATCATTTTACAGCTGGTTTCCTCTTATGCATGGATTAGCCATGTGTGCTAGAGGTCATAGTGATGGTGTCCCGGTTTCCATCACACAAATATGAGAGTAATAATGTTACTACAGAATATATGAAAACACTATACCTACCAATTTTGAATAAAATATACAGTAGTATTTAATGAAATAAAAATATTAATCAACTTGTAAACACAGTACAGTACAGAAATATACCAATACATGTAGTAATTTACCATACACTGTAGTGAGTACCCAGCTCTTACCATCTCCATAATGAGGTGGCCACAGATTGCACACTTCTCGGCAGTCTGCTGGAAGCCTGAGTAGAGGTAGTCTTCCTCACAGTAAACCTTCCCGTGGACGTTGTAGAAGGCCTTTCCTCGTAAAGCCCGCCCACACGAGCAACAGATGAAGCAGTTGGTGTGGTAGAGGTTTCCCATAGCCTGGCATGCCTGCCCGGCCCCTGTCACTTTATCCCCACAAGTGTGACACACGCCTGCAATAAAAGTTCATCATGAAAGACTGTAGAGTACTAAGGTAATTTTAGGACATATCAGGACTCGTATATTTATATACAGATATCCTCCTTTTTACAATCAACCATTTAACGATATTCCATGTTAATGATAATTACGGTAGGTTTGAACGCCCTCTCGCGATTTACATTAGGCAAAATCCACGTTGATGATAGTTATTCTAGCTGACGTGGAATGTAAACACTGGGGAAGAACATCTTTCCCTTCACTTCTCAAATCCAAGATGGCCAATATGCACAGAAATTATTTTTCCATCCTCTGCGCAGATCACCTACCCGTGCACTGCCTCATGGCCATCATGCAAACTAAAGTCCTGCGCTTTCTTTTAACGTGATCGCATCTGCCCTTGTTATTAATCATTGCGACCTGTGGTGTAATGGTCAACATGCTCGCCTCACAAGCGAGCAGACCAGGGTTCGATCCCTGGGCAGGGTGAAACTATGGGCAAGTTTCTTTATGCCAGTTGCCTCTGTCTACCCAGCAGTAATTGGGGACCTGGATGTTAATCGATTTGTGGATCGTGTTCCAGGATATTGGTTAGCCAGTGCAAATAGTGAATTGTCAGGTCTTCTGGGACTATTCCTTGACACTGGGTCATGCAGCTCGTTAACTCAGGGTGTGGTTGTTGTATTGGAGACAGCTTCTACACCTTAAACAAATTCATGCCTAGGTGACCCTTGGGCCGGCCATTATCATGAACCTTGTTATCGCTGTGATACTGTAATTTGAGTTACTGGTAAGAGGAAAACATTATTGTTCAGATTTTGCTCTGTTTTGGTGACTCTGAAATGATCAGTGTACTGTACAGTATTTGAAAATGGCTAGAAAACATCTTGCTGACTCTCCCAGCCTTGGGAAAGGCAAGGCTTCAAGGAAGACCGTGTCTCTAAAGACGAAGTTAGACATTGTTAAGCAGCAAGCTTGTTATTATTTATGTGGTGAGTGTTGTTAATTTTTTTTTTTAATTAGTGTTGGATCATTTTTCTGTGTGACATGTTTGTGTCAGACAGGCCAGGAAGATATCACATTGAAACCCATGTTAAAAGGCACGCGCTTTACGTTAATTCAGTTTATGTTAGGGTTTTCAGCAATGCAACCCTGTCGTAAATAGTGGGATACATATATATCATAACACATGGGTTTTTACTTTATAAAATGCTGTAATCTTAAAGTAAATGATCGTCTTACTAAACAACAAGACTACTGTACTGTACTGTAGGTGTTAATAAGTTTCAGATTCACCCTCTGCAGCACAGGCCACCAACATCTTCACAACGTTGCCATGCATTTTTTTTTAAATAAATTTAACAAAATAATATACCTCAATTATTTTCTTCTTCATATTTTTATCCAGCTTATGAGAATAAAATATAAAAAAAGCAGTGAAGCTGACTGATACAGCAATGTCTCCCATACCACAATAATATTAACCCATTACAGTACTTCTCCATCTCTTGACTGAAGAAAGACTATACACTGTGAAGCAGAATCAGCATGGCACCCTCTATCACATCACACACTGTAGCTACACCAAATGATTCTAGTACAACCTTCCTATGATTCATTACACACAATTCACACTTGATAAACAAACATTAAACATGATATATTAACCTTCACTAACAAGATTACCAAAAGGTTGAAACAATAAATGCTTACACTTCACGATATCTGCCATGACGTTGTTCTGTCACATGACACGAAAATCATTCTCAATTGCAGTTGTTGAGAACAGTTAGTTGTTCACAGCAGCAGATGGCAACACCCCAACAACACTGCTGCTCTCTGTTCATCCTTTCACTACAGTAAAGAAGGTGTTGTGAATATGAATATATATATATATATATATATATATATATATATATATATATATATATATATATATATATATATATGTGTGTGTGTGGTGAGGAGTGTGTGTGTGTGTGTGTGTGTGAGGTGTGTGTGTGTGTGTGTGAGGTGTGTGTGTGTGGTGAGGTGTGTGTGTGTGTGTGTGTGTGTGTGTGAGGTGTGTGTGTGTGTGGTGAGGTGTGTGTGTGTGGTGAGGTGTGTGTGTGTGTGTGTGGTGAGGAGTGTAATAATGTAAGATATGTGGGAGGTGATGTGATGTAACAAGACTCACAACAAGACAGGGACATGTGGGGACGACAGACCAGGGTGGGAGGCGAGGAACACAGTATTATCATGGTGGCATTGTTGGACTAGACAGGAGCCGGGTGTTGTGTTGATAATAACAGTAGCAGCAGGAGCCGTAGTAGGACGAGCAGTAGGAGTAGTAGTGGGAGAGGACGAGTCTCCACACACAACCTGTTACTCCGGCTGGCTGCTCTCGCTGCCTCGGCCACAACTTCCCCTTCACTGACTACCACAACCCACCACAGCACTCACCCAGCCTCCACACTGTTTAACAACACGGAAGAGTCAAACTCAGAATAAATGGTTCGTGTGTAAATACAGGTTTGATCACTAAATGTTCAGAAAAGTTGCCACCCTTGACACCACAACACCAGTCACATGTACGAGTCTTGAGGTAGGTGGGTGTGTGGCAGGAGCAGGTGGCACCCGGGAGGGCTGAGGACGGGTGGCACTCTGGCCACGCTGGTGCCACCACACACACTGCCTTCCCGACCTCTCCACGGGATCAAGAATAGAGAAGCGTGAGGGGAGGAAAAGTAGAGGTGAGTGTGGTGTGATGAAACGAGGCACTGTGGGTGGCCGCCTCTCCCTCACCACCCACCCACCCACACACACACACAGAAACACACACACACACACACACATATATACACGAACACACACACAATGATCGCCAGGGCCGTCCGCGCCTCCCTCGCCCAGCAGCTACACTGACGAGTGAAGACCAACACATACACACGCTCTACCCCTCCTACCACAATCCCCGCCTACCACACACACGCTCTCTCCTAAAACACACACACACACACACACACACACGATACCATTGGTGAACAATGTGAGTAGGAGGACATGTGGGTAGTGGTAGTAGTAGTAGTAGAGGGCGTGTGGCCGTGTGGGTAGTAGTAGTGGGGATAGTAGTAGAGGGCGTGTGGGTAGTAGTAGAGGACATGTGTGAGTAGGAAGGCGTGTTGATGGCAGTAGATAATATGTGGGTAGCAGCAGAGGACATGTGTGAGTAGAAGGGCGCGTGTAGGTAGTAGTAGAGAGGGCGTGTGGATAGCCTGCGTAAGGGACATGTGTGGGTGGAAGGGCGCGTGGCTGCAAAAAAATAAGACAGCAGCTGATAATCAAAATAAACACACAAAATCCATCTGATAAAAAGAATCTGGCCTTAATATACTGTCAATGAATATGATGTATTTCTTTGTGTATGAACCTCTGTCCTGTGTGGCAGTGAGAAGTGATACCACCCTCAGTGTCAAGAACCTGACTGAATTACTCAGAATAGGCAAACTGTACTACAAGCTTTGTCAATAAATTTGTTAAACTAAACTAAACATCCGATAAACAAACATGACACACAACAGCTGATCAAAGTAAACAATACAAACAACAGCTGACACGATATAAACAAACAGTGCCACAGCAAAGATACAGTGCGGGGACAATCTAACACGAACACAACACGGGTGAGACAAAGACCGTGGACAGCTGACACGGAGTACACAATACCGCGAAGTTGACGACATGAGAGGAGAGGAGAGATGGGAGGAGAGGAGACATGAGAGGAGAGGAGAGATGAGAATGAGTAAACTGAGCCGTGAGAAGGAGACACCCCACAGCTCCAATGACAATCACAGCAACAAAAATTATAGACAGTTGACACCAAAGTGGCATCAAACATAACCCCTCCTCCTTATTTTTACACGAGAGGAAGAAGAAGAAGAAGAGGAGGATGAGGACTCGACTTGTACCCGGCGTCACAGATTAACTTTCGCTTGAGGAGCCGCCGACCCCCCCCCCCCTACCCACACATGTCGGAGAGTTCCTTTACGCCAAATTCCAAGTAACAACACATCTCTTCACAGCCATTGAGAAACACCCCCCCAACCACCCCCACCCTCGAGGTATTAGGTTAAGTGTTAGTATTACACTCCCTTCAAAAAGACTCTCTGATTCTGTGCAGTTAGTTATTGAGACAGGCCCGAGGGGAGAGGAGGGGAGGGGTTCTGACAATAAGAGGCCATATCAGTAGGAGTCATCTATAAAGCAAGAGAAGCGTAACACAGTGAGTTTTGTCTTGTTGTTGGTGATGGTGTGTTAATGTGTACGCAACAGGGAGAAGACACGATTCGAGAGGGGTTAAGGAGGAGGAGGGGAGGAGGGAATGAGAGAATGGTGGTAGTGTGTGGGGGTGGGCGGGGGGGAGTTACAGTGGTAGGGACGTCCTCTGTACCCTCACATTTGATCAACTGACTGTACCACCACCATAACCACACACACACACACACTCTTCGCTGCCTCTCACACCTTCATCCATCACGCCTCCCAAAACCTTAGTCCTACACAATAAGAGTATTAACAACCATTCAACACTCTCTCTCTCTCTCTCTCTCTCTCTCTCTCTCTCTCTCTCTCTCTCACTACGCTATTACCAAAGTATTCAATACGGTAACCCCCTGAGGACGATGATTTGACACACCCTAGAGAGAGAGAGAGAGAGAGAGAGAGAGATACGTTAACTACAGTAGTTGTGACGGTGGCGGGAGGAAGTGTAGCAGACGAAAAGATAAATGTTCAAATGATCACCAGGTTCTCGTGTGTGTGTGTGTGTGTGTGTGTGTGTGTGTGTGTGTAACAACTTCGTCTTGCCTTAATATGAATCTTTCCCATTAATTAGTTCTGACTCACCTGTAGATTAAACGACCAGACAGAACAAGACAGGTAAGGTAAGGTAAGGCAAGTGTCCATAAAGGTCCCTGGACAGCGGAGAAAATATTGTACAGGTAGGGAGACACAGGTACAGTACAGCCGGCCAGTG